TTATAATATTAAGAAAACATGTTTCAAATACATTGTGGTTTGTATTTTTTTTTTCTCAGAAAAGAGGAAGGCTCTGTATAAGTCTGGTAAGTAGTTATTATCTCATTCTTAGATCTCTTGAGGGCTCAGCAGCTATCTTAGTTTCAATAGCAGTGATAAGATGCATAGTGTATATTTTCTGTCAGGTAGAGACAAGGCTCAATTGAAGACCAATAATGAATGAGTATCTTTTAGAAAGCTCCATTCTTCTGTCTATTGTGGATTTAGCTACTTTCTTAGTCTCTATAAAATTTGGGTAGATGGGGCCAGCAAGTGGCATGATGGTTAATGCACTGGACTCCCACATGGCCAACCAAAGTTTGAGTCCCAAATGCAACAGGCTGAAATTCATGCTGGGTACATGTGTGTACATACCAAAATCCCAAAGAGATTGGAGGAGGAGGGACTGTGGCATGGCCAGCCCCCCGGGTGCGATTTATCACTTTCCTCCTCTCTTTCTCTCTCTCTCTCTCTGATGAGAACATATGCTCCATGGCAAAAATTTTTAATAATTATTTTTAAAAGATACTTGGGCTGAATAAAAAATATCTATTGGAAATAAGAGAAGAGTTGGAGCATTGCTTTATAAATATTAATAAATTCAAAAAATCATTCCCAAAGTAAAATTTAAACACTATCTTAATTTTTTTTTTGCTTTGCCTTTCCTTCTTTCCGTTCTTCATTCCATGATCTCACCATCCCACCTCTGGATCCTTCTCATGACTTTCAACCTTCTGTGTTCCACATCTACATTTCTTTTACCTAGTAAAGTTATCATCACTTACAATTTTTGAGATATGACTTAGAAAAACACAGTATAGAAGACTTAGCATATGAAATCAAGATGGACAAGGAAAGATGAGAAAACCATGAAAAAAAAATGGAAGGAATAAAAGTAAAATTTTACTATTCTATTCTCTACAGACTGGAAGAAAGCAGCGTTGTATCCTGGTGAGTACCAGAATTTTCCTAAGAAAATCCTATTGTTAAAGACATTTTAAACTGACACCTGCACTATACAAAACAATATACTAAAATGTGAAAGATACAATGCACACCTTCCATAAACACAGTATATTATCCACTATTATTTCAGATAATAATATTTTTGAAGCACCCAGTATATTATCCACTATTATTTCAGATAATATTATGTTTGAAGTACTATGGTAGGATTTTAAAGTTTATATCTCACATTCTCTTTTTAAGAAAGGTAGAGTGGTTATTATGTGCTAAAATCTGAGAAAACCAAAGTGAAAAATAAGTTATTTAGTCAAATTAGTCACATTACCTATTTCCATTCCAATACCTAAATCAATTATAGATATTTATCTTGTAGAAAAATTGGGTAAGAGGAGAGAGCATAAATATAGGCCAATACTTCAAGTCAAATATAATTTAACAGTCTTTTTAAACATTGCAAATATTTTCTTTGGTTGCTATAATTCATTTATTAAATACTGGACATTTACCACAATCAGAGTATTTTGAACAGAAAGGCAAATTATCTTTCAGTTACAGGTAACCATATATATGTATTTCTTACAGATTGGAGGAGAGAAGAGTTCCAGGATGGTGAGTCTCTGATGGTCCTGAAAGCACCCTGCTCTTTGTGTGGAATTCTCAGAGAAAAATGAGGGCAAAAAAGCTAAAATCCATCCAGGGCCAGAGAAGTTCCTATAGACTAGTGCAGTTCTGGCCCCAGTCTGCTAAGATCCTTCCCAGGGACATAAAGATCCACTTGTTTTTGCAGTAATTGTGACCTTGGATGAAGCCACTGCCCATCCTGCCCTGCTCTTGTCTGAAAAAGGAAGACAAATAACCTGTCAAGAAAAATCTCAAGATCTTCCCAGCTCTGCACAGAGATTTGACTCCCTGCCCTGTGTACTGGGTCAGCCTCGCTTAACCTCAGGGAGAAGCTTCTGGGAAGTAAAGGTTGAAGATACAGGTTTTTGGGACCTGGGAATTTGTAGGGATAATGTAACAAGGAAGGGGAGGGTCACAATATCCCCAGAGAATGGTTTCTGGGCCATCAGATTCTATGAGGGGGAGTACTGGGCCCTCACCTCCCCAGAAACTCCTCTTCCTCTAAGACAGAAGCCCCATAGTGTGGGGATATTCTTGGATTATGAGGATGGAGAAATATCATTCTTTAATATGACAGATGGATCTCATATTTTCACTTTCCCCAAGAGTGTATTCTATGGTGTCCTAAGACCTCTTTTCAGGCTTTGGCCCTCTGACCCAGCCACCTTGACCTTTGTCTAGATGACTTAGAACAGATAAATGTGACTCAGATGCATGCCCCCTCTCATGAATAATGATGACTTTGAGCCAAGGTGATTACAGTTCTACCCAAAGGCTCTGAACGGTGTTTTCCTTATATGGCCTCACCTGGAACACATAAAATAAGGAAAAAAAAAAGGAATCACTTTGTTTCTAGCACAATATGTGAGGTCACCTATTAAAAATCGGATCCAACATTATCTGGTCATTTTTCTATGCTTCTCTAGGTACCTGCATTTACAAACCTTTGAATTGTCAATTTTGTAAAAATTACGATTTATTAAAATTTCAAACTCTACTGCCTCTGTGTTCTTAATGTATGAGCATGTACTCATTTATATATTAAGTGCAAATAAAAGCAATAATAACTACGATCCATCAGAACAGAAAGAGAGGCACTGTATGTCACCTCAATACATACAAAATGCCGGCACTCTATGGCAGAAATTGTTATGCTGGAAGGCGTGAAAGCATGGAGAGCAATGGTGACACTCAGGACAGCGCATGCAAAGGGTGAAAAATGGGGAAAGGTAAAAAGGAAGGAATAAAGGGGAAGAAGAAAGAAGCAAAACATATAAGGAACCCCAAATGGAAAGAAATGAGTTGGTTATAATGAGTATGGTAATATCTTTGAATGAAACAATATACAGTTTATTTACAATAGGAAAATTCATTTGGTATCCTGTAATGATACATAGTGACTGAATGTAAATGATAATAACAGCAAAATGATTATCATAATAAATATAAAGATCTTTCTAAATATGTACCTCTTCATTAACGTCCTGTCTGTTTTATTAAGAGAAGTATCCTTCTTTGTAACAGGGATTACCAAGCCATCTATTCTCTTCATCCTGTATTGCTCACTCTGGCATGGGGATCAATATTATTACTTTCACCTTTCTATTAGGAACTTCCAAAGACATTTAAAATTTTCAGTCTTTTCCATCTTAGAATCAAAAGAATACAACCTCCCATTAACGCTATATCCTTCTCCATATTCCCCTATAGCGAAAACCTCTCCAAAAAAAAAAAAAAGACTTCCAATACTATGCTGTGTAGGCATGGTAAGATTAGTCATTGATGTATTCTTCTGGGTTGCAGAGGAAAAGCTTTTAGGAATGAGACAAGACCTATCAAGTATGAAACATGAAGAAATAGAAAACTTTAGCAAACCTGCTACTAAAGTAATTTATTCAGTAATAAAGACTTTCTGACAAAGAAAAACCCAGAATCAATAGTTTCATAGGTAAATTCAGCCAAATATTTAAAGAAGATTTAAGAGTCTACTCAAACTCTTTGAAAAAACTGAAGCGGGGGACATGTCCACACTTACTTTATTAGGTCCTTATAATGCAGATACCAAGGGCAGAAAAAGGCTCTATAAGAAATAAAATGATAGCTCAAAGTCTCTGATGAATAGAGATGCAAATAATCAACAAAAATATTAGCAAACCCAATCTATAGCACATCATAAGGATGATATACCATGACCAAATGAGAGAACCCTATGGTGAAAAGGTATTTCAATATCTGGACTTCACTTACTGGGATACATCACATACTATGGTCTGAATGCTTGTGCCCCTGCCATTTATATGTTGAAATCTTAACTCCTAGCAAAATGGTGTTGGTAGGTGGGCTTTGGGAGAAGTAATTAGTTCATGAGGGAGGGTGGAGCTCTCGTAAATAGAATTAATACCCTTTAAAAATAAGACCAAGAGAGCTCATTAATTCCTTTCCCTATGTGAAGGCATAGTTAGGAGGCTCTATTGATGAGACCTATTGTTGAGTCTCAGGAAATGCTGATTCATCAGCACCTTGATCTTTAGCTTCCTATCCTTAAGAATTGTGAGAGGGACAAGCAGATGGAATAATGGTTACATCATTGGCCTCCCACGTAGTCGACTTCAGCTTGAGTACCAGACATGGGGTATTAAAACTCAGCCAGGCGCATGTGTATGCATGCCCAAGATCCCAAGAGGAGACTGAAGGAGAAGGGATTGCTTCATGGCCATTCCCCCTGTAGGATGATTTCTCACTTTCTATCTCTCAGTTTCTCTCTGTCTCTGGTGAGCACATGTTCCCTATAGCAATAATCTCTCACTATCCAAAACACTGAAGTCCTGAGAGTCCAAAGGCGAGTGTGGGGGATATGAGCCATGGGTTCTGGTCATTAGGGCCTACAGCCGCAGGCAGCCTGGTATCCGGAAAGTCTGCTAGAGGTCTCCAGATGGGGTGGAGAGGGGTGCAGGTTCATCTTAAAGTCCCAATACACAAACCTGAAGTCCAAATGCAAGTGGGGAGGAGTGCAAGCCATGGGTCCTGGCCATTAGGGTCTACTGCCACAGGCAGCCTGTCATCTGTCAAGACTGCTTGCTTGATCCAGTCTCTGAATGGGGTGGAGAGGGGGGAATTTTGTCTTAAAGTCCCAAGACAGAAACCTGAAGTCCAAAGGCAAGTGTGTGTGTGTGTGGGTTTGTGGTGAACTATGTTTCTCTGCTATTAGGGTCTGTAGCCACAGATAGCCTCCATGATAATAAATTTGGTTCTAGTAATGGTACAGCTGCCCACATTGCCTCCAGGAAATAAAAACTCTAAATCAACAGCTGCAGAACTAGCATGAGACAGATGCCCTCAGCCTTAGGGAAGTGATAACACAAGACTCCCCCACACATTAAACACATACCGTTACCACTAATACCGTGAATAACATTTGCAATGTATATAGTGAGAATATGGTGAAAAAATTCATGTATTTTATAATTCGGACATTTCAACCTCTTCCCTACATGATTAAAACTGAGTTAGATGAGTTGAAAAATAAATTAGAATAAAGGAATAAGCAATTTAGAAAATGTTTGAGTCATTTAACTATGAAAAGAAATATAAAAATGTAAGACCAAAAACTTTTTTTAAAGTTGTGACATAATACAACATATATGGACTCCACTTCCAGACAAAATAGAATTAAAACCCATTACAGTCTGTGTCTCCCACTGAATGCAACCACAACATTTGGAAAGACTACAAATAGCAACTACTTGAGGACTTTAAAACGTGAACAGTAGAAGGTTATTGAAGGGATGAAAACGCTTGAGGACTTTAAAACGTGAACAGTAGAAGTTTACTGAAGGGATGAAAGTGAAGAACTGAGCAGTGTGAGTGTTAGTTTGTTGACTTTGGGGAATTTTTTCTTTTTCTCCTTATATCCATCTAGACTTTGATGCAAGGGCAGTACAAGTCTCAGAATAGCACAATAAAAGCAAACAGGGAAAAAAAAAAAAAAAAAACAGCATTTTTATGGCTAGAGCACAAAAAGAAAGGGTCATTTTGAACCAGAGGGTGAGTTAAGATGAGAGAAGAGGGGAATATTAGTTTTCTCCCATTCCACTACCCCATGTCCAGTCCTGATAGCAACCCCATTCACCCAGAAGGCAGCACTGTCATAGAAGGGGGCCAGTAGAGCAGGCAACCAGAACCTCGAGAGAAAACACTCTCTATCTCTCTCTGAAGGTATCTTTCTACCTGAACAAGAAACAGTGCAAACAAGCCTCTGTGGTCCTCAGGAAGAGTGGAAAACCCTGACGTTTTCTAACTTATCCTTTTCTGCTTTATGCCAAGGGTAGCTCCCAGACATATGGGAGACCATGACATAGTGCAAATTTCTAAGGCATAATGGTGAACACTCTTAAAATAAGTAGAAAAGGAGACCCTTTCCAGAGGAAAAACAGTAACTATCACTAAAAAATTAAATGAAAATTTTGAAAACTGAAAAAAAGAATCATATCTAACTTAAAAACTGACTGCATGAACTCAATAGCACAATGAATTTGACACAAGCTGGGTCAGTGACCTTGAAATTAGAGAAATAGGCCCAGTCAGTGGCTCCTTGGTAATGCAATGCTCTACCATGCTGGTAAGACCTTGGTTTGCATCAGAGGCCTCCCTATGCATGCTGGCCATGCCGCATGTCCAGGATCAGGATGCTGGAAGCTAGGGGTAGATCATCTTGACAGTGCCTGGATTTCATGGCTTCGGTCTCTCTCATGGGATAAATAAACAAATGAGCTTTTTATAAAGAAGAATGGGGGGCTGGCCCTTGGCTTGGTGGTTGAGGTAGCTGGATGACACTTGGCTGGCTGGTAGCCTAAGAAACACTTTGGAACGCATGTGCATGAATGCTCAAAATCCAAGAAGAGAGAAAAATGGGAGAGGAAGGTTGCATCATGATCACACCCCATGGGGAGTACTTCTTGCTAGGTTGACACTTTAATGTCATTCCAGATCATCTCAAGTCGTCTCTTCCAAAGAAATATTTGACCATTCTGAGACGTTATGCTCCATTATTCTCGAACTTCTTTGTTTTGTGTTGTTGAAGGTACCTGAATGTATTAAAACTCTGAAATACTTTTTGCTCACATTGCTAACATTTACAGTCCAAGAACCTGGGGCTATATCCTCTGCGCCATCACTAAATGCTCCGTGTGAGGAAAAGTGCTTGCCACCTAGTTGGTACTCCATATGTGAAAAATAAATATTTGAACCAGCTTAATTGATAGGTATAATATTAAAATTTAACACAAAAAAAGTTAGATAATGTCATTATTGTTTTTAGTGAACATTGATCACAAGGTTAATTCAGTTTTCTTCTATCATAATTATAAAGCAACTTAAGATTTCTGATACATTGATAAACTGATGATTGTATTTACTGCCCCCTATCTTTCCAGGATTCATTCAAGGTTACACTCTTGTGAACATTCAGATTTCTGCTCAAATGTTAATTCCTTTAAAAAGACTCCTCACACTGTGGTTATGGTGCTGGCCTCCCACATGGACAACTGCATCAGTCAGTGGTGTGGAGGTTGAGGCAGCTAGACCTCACATGGCCAACTACACAGTTCAAAGGCCAGACCAAGAGGCTCGAAAGTCATGCTGGGCATGCATGTGTGCCCAAAATCCCAGGAGGAGCATAGAGAAGGGACTATGGCATGGCCATCCCCTCTGGAGGTGATTTCTCACTTTCGTTTTCATCATCTGTCTCTCTCTTTCTGGTGAACACATGTGCCCTAAGGTAAATACCACAAAATAAATAAA